CCGCCCTGGCCTCCCAAAATACTGGGATTACAGGCGTGAGCCACCGCTCCTGGCTTGACTGCCTTTTAACTTGAGCTGCAACATCCAATTCTCCCTAGGTTTCCAGCCTGCCCTGTGGAATTTGGACTTGCCAGTCCCCATAATCACATGAGCTAATTCCTCAAAATCAATCACTTACTCTCTCCTGCTCTCTCTCTTTCTGTCTGTCACACACACACACACACACACACACACACACGGTTGTTTCTCTGGAGAACGCTTAACACAAGTCTCCCTGGGGAGAGTCCAGGTATGCCCTGCCATCTGGCCTGTAGTAAGGGCATCAGCAGATCCCTCGTTATTGGTTATTAATGCCATTTTTTGTTTGTTTGTTTGAGATAAGGTCTCACTCTGGTAAGAGCCACCACACACTGGTCTTTGAAACTCCCACTCCCCTCTCTATCACAAACAGTCCCTCTTCCCAGCCAGGTGCCTCTACCCACAGTAGCAGCTTTCTGCCACCTTCCGGGCCTTCCATGTGGCTTTCCCTGATCTCGACACCTCACCAAGCCCCAGTCACCATTTTACAGTGTCCCCTTAGACTAGGGTCTCTGGGGACACTTCACAAGCATCTTATCTATTCATTCAACAAACATGTATTGATGACGCCTGCTGTGTGCCTAACACTGTAGTGGGGGACTGGGGGCAGATGAGCAGGCAAGTCTTCTTTGAGGTAATAAATGGGTATCGTGTGAGCACTGCAGATGAAACTCAAATGCTCAAAGGGCCACAGGCAGAGGCAGACAAGGAAGGGCAGGGCTGGGAGTTTGGCAAAGAGAAGACTGTTTGCCAAGTGGGGGCCACTCTGGTGCTGTGGCCCATTGTCACCCTGTGGGGATGCAGGCCAGCCACTGCCAGATCTTCTGAACTTAAAAATAAAAGATAGGCCTGGCTCAGTGGCTCATGCCTATAATCCCAGCACTTTGGGAGGCCAAGATGGGTGGATCTCTTGAGCCCAGGAGTTTGAGACCAACCTGGGTAACACAGCAAAACCTCATCTCTACAGACAAATACAAAAATGTAGCCAGGTGTGGTGGCACACACCTGTAGGTCCAATAACCCGGGAGGCTGAGGTGGGAGAATCACCTGAGCCCGGGAGGTTGAGGCTGCAATAGCCATGATATGCCACTGCACTCCAGTCTGGGCACTGGAGTGAGACTCTGTCTCAAAAATAGAATAAAATAAAATAATGAGTCACACATGGTGGCATACACCTATAGTCCCAGCTACTTGGAAAGGTCCCAGCCCGGTAAGGCTGAGGCTGTGGTGAGCCATGATTGCACCACTGCACTCCAACCTGGGCTAGAGAGTGAGACACCATCTCAAAAAAATAAAATAAAAGGCAGAAAGATGGGTTGTACGTGAAATCCAATTCACCAAAGTTAACTACTACATGATTCAAACATTTTTCTTTTCTTATAGAGATGTGGGTCTCACTATGTTCATCAGGTTGGTCTTGAACTCTTGGCCTCAAGTGATCCCCCTGCCTTGGCCTCCC